AATTACACCGAGCGGCGGGTAGAATCCTTTGCAGACGACTTAAATACGCGACGGGGTATTGTAAGTGGCAGAGTGGCCTTGCTGCCACGATCCACTGAGATTCACCCTTTGTCGCTAAGATTCGACCCTCCCCTAAATCACTCCAAAAAAACAATCCCCAATTCTACACAAGTGTTTCTACACTAACAAAGCAACAGCTCCTTAACGAATTCCCAACTTTACACGAGCTCGTCTCTCGAGGTTAAATGTTATTACTTGGTAAGATTCCGGACCTCGCCAAGTGTTTTGAAAACCCCCAACGCTCGCAAAGGTGCATAGTGAGAATAATAAGTGAAGAGACAGACTTGTCCAAAACGCCCACCACGAAGGTGCATAGTGAGAAGAGTAAGTCAAGAGATAGACTTGTCCAAAAAGAAACGGAAGAGAAAGCTTGGGGAGACGCTCACGAAGGTGCATAGTGAGAAGAGTAAGTCAAGAGATAGACTTGTTCAAAAGAAACAGAAGAGAATGCTTGGGGTTACACTCACGAAGGTGCATAGTGAGAAGGAGTAAGGTCAAGAGACAGACTTGTTCAAAAAGAAACAAAAGAGAATGCTTGGGGAGATAGAAGTGTGAGATAGTTCTCAAGCTAAGAAAGTTTGTAAAAGCTAAGAACTAGCAAGTAATCGTCCAGGATTCCTCCACCAGGACTTGAAATCGTCGAGGGAAAAAAATCGGTTCCGAGGAATCGTCGATCCGGACTTGGAGTCGTCGAGAAAAGTTTACCGGGTCCGAGGAATCGTCGATCCGGACTTGGAATCGTCGAGAAAAGTTTACCGGGTCCGAGGATTTGTCGACCAGGAGTGGAAATCGTCGAGAAAAATCTATCGGGTCCGAGGAATCGTCGACCAGGACGACGAATCGTCGACCGGGTCCGAGGATTTGTCGACCAGGGGTTGAAATCGTCGACCAGGTCCGAGACTTCATCGACCGGGTCCGAGGATTTGTCGACCAGGAGTGGAAATCGTCGAGAAAAATCTATCGGGTCCGAGGAATCGTCGACCAGGTCCGAGACTTCATCGACCGGGTCCGAGGATTCGTCGACCAGGACGATGAAATCGTCGACCAGGTCCGAGACTTCATCGATCGGGTCCAAAAATTTGATTTTTTTTTGGAACCGGTGTCTCCTCAGACATTTCAATGTATGTTGGTGCCAAGAGGGAAAAGGGCTATAAAGCTATATAGGGGTGGGTGTGTGTAGTGGGAATTTTGCCCGCACGCGCGCGCGCGAATAAGAATAAGAATAAGTAATAAGAATAAGAATAAGAAAAAGAAAAAAAAAAAAAAAAAAAAAAAAAAAAAAAACTCCATAGAGTTGTTTTCTCAATCGGGTCCGAGGAATCGTCGATCTGGACTTGGAATCGTCGAGAAAAGTATACCGGGTCCGAGGAATCGTCGACCAGGACGAGGAATCGTCGACCGGGTCCGAGGATTTGTCGACCAGGGGTTGAAATAGTCGACCAGGTCCGAGACTTCATCGACCGGGTCCGAGGAATCGTCGACCAGGACGATGAATGGTCGATGAAAATCTATCCGGTTCGAGGAATGGTCGACCAGGGGTTGAAATCGTCGACCAGGTCCGAGACTTCATCGACCGTGTCCGAGGAGTGGTCGAGGGTTTGTCGACCAGGACGAGGAATCGTCGACCGGGTCCGAGGATTTGTCGACCAGGGGTTGAAATCGTCGACCAGGTCCGAGACTTCATCGACCGGGTCCGAGGATTCGTCGACCAGGACGATGAATGGTCGATGAAAATCTATCGGGTTCGAGGAATGGTCGACCAGGGGTTGAAATCGTCGACCAGGTCTGAGACTTCATCGACCGTGTCCGAGGAGTGGTCGACCAGGAGTTGAAATCATCGACCGGGACCGAGAATTCGTCGACCAGGACGGCGGAATGCTCGAGCCAGGACGATGAATGGGCGATGAAAATCTATCGGGTTAGAGGAATGGTCGACCAGAAGTTGGAATCGTCGACCGGGTCCGAGAATTCGTCGACCAGGACGAGGAGTGGTCGAGGATTTGTCGACCAGGAGTTGAAATCGTCGACCGGGTCCGAGAATTCGTCGACCAGGACGGCGGAACCCTCGACCAGGACGATGAATGGGCGATGAAAATCTATCGGGTTCGAGGAATGGTCGACCAGAAGTTGAAATGGTCGACCGGGTCCGAGAATTCGTCGACCAGGCCGAGGAGTGGTCGAGGATTTGTCGACCAGGAGTTGAAATCGTCGACCGGGACCGAGAATTCGTCGACCAGGACGGCGGAACCCTCGACCAGGACGATGAATGGGCGATGAAAATCTATCGGGTTCGAGGAATGGTCGACCAGGGGTTGAAATCGTCGACCAGGTCCGAGACTTCATCGACCGGGTCCGAGGATTCGTCGACCAGGACGGCCGGATGTCCGAGAAAAAAAAATGTTGCCGAATAACTTTCGAAAATCATTGGATATGATGCAATGTTTTGTGATCGAATCTCTTAAAATACATCAATAAAGAGTTTAGGATGTCAAGTTTGCATCAAATATGCCCACGGAGCCCCAACTAGACCATGAAAATCCGATGTTGTATCAGGTCAAATGACCTAGCTAGAGGTGTCAAAAAATTATGAAAATTTACCAGAAAATAGGATTTAGTATCCTTATGATGCATGCCAAAAAGAATTTTCAAATTCCAAGTATTTCTTTTTTTTTGGCACCGGTGTCTCCTCAGACATTTCAATGTCTGTTGGTGCCAAGAGGGAAAAGGGCTATTAAGCTATATAGGGGGGTGGGTGTTGAGGGAGTCTGGGCAGTCCGTGGGGAACCCCCTTTTTCGGTTCGGACTTGGGTAGCGATCGAGGGATGGTATCGGATATCGGCACGAGGAATGACCGACCGTCCGGCCGCCGGGATTTTCGCCGGAAAACTTTTCCGGCGACTTTTCCGGCGATCGGTTTTGTTGCCTTTTTCCGAGTTTTCTCAGCAGTTCTCGGACAAAAACTGCTGAATCGTCGAGGAGAATGGGCTTGCCTTGCGTGGGCTGCCATTAGTTCTTCGAGGCGTTAGGGTGGCGGCGGTATAAAAGTGTCGGAGTTTTTTCAGCAGTTCTCGGACAAAAATTGCTGAGTGGCCGAGAAGAATGGGCGTGTCATGCGTGGGCTGACATGGATTCTTCGAGGCCTAGGGGTGGCGGTATATAACTTGTTCGCATGATATTACCGAGATGTCCCCACGGGCATCTTTTCACCTCGTCGCCGAAGAGAATGGGCGTGTCATGGCATGGGCTGACATGGATTCTCCTAGGCCGTTTGGGTGGCGGTATAGTCGTCTTGCGCACGAAATACCGAGATGTCCCCATGGGCATCGATTCCACCCGCCTAGGTTGGATGGGCGTGCTTCGTTGGAAAGCATGGATCCGCCTAGGCTGTCCCGAGTGTGAGCGAGGTGTGAGTGTCGCCCATGGGCATCGACACCTTGCGGCTAGGAACTGGAACGAGACGGGTGGCAAAGATTTCGAGTAGCACTTCATACTACCGTGGGTTTTTTAAACCTTCCGAGTTTTGTTGATGTTATTCCGAGAATTAGCAAACCGTAACGAAGATGTTCTTGGCAACCATCTTTTGATGGGAGTCCGGCTGTTCGATAGCCGGCCAAGGGTGATGAACGAAATGTGAACCCTTGTCTCGCCTAGGTTGGATGGGCGTGCTTCGTTGGAAAGCATGGATCCGCCTAGGCTGTCCCGAGTGTGAGCGAGGTGTGAGTGTCGCCCATGGGCATCGACACCTTGCGGCTAGGAACTGGAACGAGACGGGTAGCAAAGATTTCGAGTAGCACTTCATACTACCGTGGGTTTTTTAAACCTTCCTAGTTTTGTTGATGTTATTCCGAGAATTAGCAAACCGTAACGAAGATGTTCTTGGCAACCATCTTTTGATGGGAGTCCGGCTGTTCGAAAGCCGGCCAAGGGTGATGAACGAAATGTGAACCCTTGTCTCGCCTAGGTTGGATGGGCGTGCTTCGTTGGAAAGCATGGATCCGCCTAGGCTGTCCCGAAGGTATCTCGCGCTTGTACGGCTTTGGCTCGGATTCGTCCGTCTTCTTTCTTCTTAGCCGAGTACTTCGGTAGATTAGTTGGAACGATTGATGATTTTGAGTTAATTGAACGTTCGGCGTATGAGTGGTGATCGGATAGCTAGTGTTCGTAGGCTCCATGCTCGCGCATCGAACTACCTACCACCTATCCTTCTCAGTTAATTCACGGGCGATGTTACGCTCGATGATGAGTTCCGGGGCCTGTGTTTCGTACCTAATTTGAAGGAATTGTTGAGTTTGGTTTACACCTTTGCCCGCGGCTTCTCCTTCGTGGGGAAGTCGTGGGCACAAACATCGGCGCTTGTTCACCTCTCGTCATCGCATTTGTTGCCTTGCTCGCATTGGTGAATGAGTTGCGGGTTGAAATCTCGGATGCGGAAAAGTTGTCGACGGTGACTCGAAGTGATTCAGTCCCGCCAAAGCTCATCCGTCCTTCGGGCAAAAGATGACGGTCAAGACCTCGTCCTTTCTCTCTTTCCATTGCGTTTGAGAGGATGTGGCGGGGAATTGCCGTGATCGATGAATGCTACCTGGTTGATCCTGCCAGTAGTCATATGCTTGTCTCAAAGATTAAGCCATGCATGTGTAAGTATGAACGAATTCAGACTGTGAAACTGCGAATGGCTCATTAAATCAGTTATAGTTTGTTTGATGGTAACTACTACTCGGATAACCGTAGTAATTCTAGAGCTAATACGTGCAACAAACCCCGACTTATGGAAGGGACGCATTTATTAGATAAAAGGTCGACGCGGGCTCTGCCCGTTGCTCTGATGATTCATGATAACTCGACGGATCGCATGGCCTCTGTGCTGGCGACGCATCATTCAAATTTCTGCCCTATCAACTTTCGATGGTAGGATAGTGGCCTACCATGGTGGTAACGGGTGACGGAGAATTAGGGTTCGATTCCGGAGAGGGAGCCTGAGAAACGGCTACCACATCCAAGGAAGGCAGCAGGCGCGCAAATTACCCAATCCTGACACGGGGAGGTAGTGACAATAAATAACAAT